TTTTTTTTTTTTTTTTTTTCGTTGGCTTATGCCAACGGTTGCCACGAACTAACGAAAAACAGGCCCGGGTTCGAATCCTTGATGGAGATCGAAAATTTATTGGACCGTTTCTCGATTTATGCATGTCATCTTTGCGCAGGGCCATGCTGATCTACGGTGCGGTTAATCTCAGCCGCGCAATCTCGATGATCGCACGACCGAAATTGCTCGCCTGTGACCCAACAACGCTTACTCAAGGCCTAATGGCCTTGCTTTCTGGCCTACTCCGTGTCGAATGGCCGCACGACCGGAGCTCGACGGTCACCCAACCGGGTAGGCCACAACACCGGTTTGTCGGCCCCCTAGCTTGAAATCAAACCCCGCGGGCCCGGAAAGAAAAAATCCTTCCTATTCCTCCCACGTTGTGACCCCATACCTGGTGCAACCATTCTTTTTAGCCTACTTAGGCCCCGAAATTCCTGAATTGTGCGGCTGCTAATTTTAGGTAGAATAGGTCTAGCTCTACCACTTTTATGCCCGCACGCCTTTGCGGCTTCGACAAGAGTGGAACACTTCCAACTACCATCGTTACACTCGGACGACAAGCGTCCGGACTAAAGCTCGAAAACTTTTAATCTCTCAGCCATACGTAAGGTCTGAATAAACTTTTGGCAATCGTCACTCCCGTCAAGTTCTTCAACTCAACGAAAGAGTCGGACAATATCCGACGTTCAAAACCCCTGACAAATACCCTTGTCAGTGACAAGGGTATTTGCCCCGACAACGGGTCGGGATGTCGCGGACTGGGGTGCTTGTCGAGTGAATTCGTCAGCGTTGGAGCAATTTGTTTGTTGGTGTCCGAATTGGCGGCAACGGAAGCAGCCACCGTTGGATTGGAGGTAGGTGCATTCCTCCAGAGTGAGTTTCTTGATGAGGGGAGGTTGGGTGGATGAGGAAGGTTGAGCAATGTGATCCTTGCGGTCCATCCTCATGAATTGGATGGTGTCGAGTTCCTTGATGGCGAGTGACGAGGAATCGAGTGAGTCGGAAAGTGTGTCGAGGTCGGGTGTGGAGAACTCGTCCGAGGAAGTGGTGAAGGTGGTTTTTTCGTAGGTGATGTTGTGAAAGAAGCGGGGGCTGGAAAAAAACCGATATGAGTGTGGCCTTGCAGGGGGAGGGAAGGCGGTCGATTTGGAGGGCACAAGCGAGGAGGTCGGCGAATGTCATAGACGGCTCGTGGACAAGGGTTGCCGCTAGATCCTTGCGGCATACCCACTTGACGCGGGAGATGAATGTGGTGTCACCAATGACGTCGATGGGGATGTGTTGGCAAAGCGAGCGGACGTATTGAACAAAACGGTCGGTCGGCCTGTTTTGGCGGAGTCACAAAATTGGTTGAGGTAGTCGTCGACTGTTTTCAATGGACGGAAGGTGGAGGTGATCATGGTGGCCCACTCAAGAAACGAGTGAGGTGGAAGATTGGCATGATGGCGGTTGGACATTTTTGCGTACTGGTGAACGACGCCTTCTGGGAGTTCGGTGCCAACGATGGGGAGCTAGTGGATGACGGGAACGTTGCGGAGGGAGAAGGCTTGTTGGAGTTTGGTGAGAAAGAGGAAGACGCCCTCATGGGATTGGTCGGAGAAGGTGGGGATCTCGCTGGCACGAAATGATAAGGGAAATTGCCGACTTCGGGGGCAGTAACGGCGAGGGCGTTGAAGTCAAGGGTAGGGGAGGAAAAAGCGATCAAACTGAAATTGTTGGTGGGGTTGGCGGGAATGAGAGGGTTTGGGGGAAGTAGTGGAAGAGCGTGGTGGGGGGTTTGTGGTGTGGGAGTGATCTAGGTATAGGTGGGGAGGGTGAAGCTGATAGTCGACGAAGTCAAGAGAGGTTTCAATTGGGGGGGAATTGTCGACGACTGTGTAATGGTGAGGTTGTCGTTTTGGGCGAGAGGGGAGGTGAGATGACCATGGTGGAGGTGGTGGTGGATGAAGGCGGAGGCGTGGATGACGTGTTGGCAGAGAAAACGGAGGATGTGGAGGAGGAGGTAAGTGGTGTAGACGTGGAGGCGGGGGGTGGGGGAAGGGTGATGGAGTCCGAGGTGGAGGAGGGGGCTGTGGTGGTGACGACCTGGATGGTGGAGGAGGCATGTTGTTGTTCCATGGTGGTTATCCGGTCGGAAAGGCCGGACAACAGAAAAAATGCAAGGCGAATATTCTAAATTTTATGTGCTTACAGAATGCGGATATGTCCTTGATATTTGTTGAAATATGTGAAAGCCATATTTCCTTCTGTTGAAATTCACATTTTACGTATTCCGTAAACAATTGCTCGCCCTTGAACACGCGCAGTGTATACCATCGCTCAGTGTTCGTCCAACAAATCTCAACTTCTCTCAACACCTTTCAACATCTTCCTACTATCTTCTGATTTCAAAATCATATCTTCGTAGTTGCCTCTGGGACGGTACTTTTCCGATGGCCTTCCTTCCGGATACGTGGTTGATGATAACACATACGTGATTGACATTGTCACCTCACAATATTTGACATATAGAAATATACGATATGTACGCTGTTTTCGGTTGTGATTGTTGGAGTCCGCAGGTGCGTTGCAATTCCGTGCACGTTTGTACTCCAGCATGTACGAAGTAAACGCACCTGCCGACCACGACTTCCTGACCGCAAAATCGGTGCACAGATTTTGTCATGAGTGGAAGTTAATCCACACACGATATTACTCATATTGTGTGTACCAATTTTTTTATAAAAAAAAAAAAAAAAAAAAAGGTAATTATGT